GGCATTTCTTTCCTTGAAAGACCAGGGGTAAAGGCAAAGAACTAACAATGATATCAAGAAATTAAGAGCTCTTCCCATCATACAAGAACACAGGCAAGGTATCAGGTTATGAGAAGGGGTGAAGGTGGCTATGGGACAGGAATGGTGTGCCACTACATTTGCAGCAGGCAAACACTCTAGACATGGTAAGCTCATGAGAAGAATAAGCCAGGTTCAATCCTCTCCATAAAGCTCTGGCCTGGCCAGAGTGCTGTCCTCTGATTGATTATCTAAGGACTTTGGAAGGCAGGGTTTGGAGTGATGGGGGGGTGTTCTATGTGGAAAACAGTAACTTATACAAAACAGCAGGTTGGGAATGAGCCTGCCAATTAATGATTTGGTTCCCAGACTTCTTTAACAACAAAGAAGAATCTGGGGCCCTTCTAACTGTTTGCCCCATAAGCTCGCACACACATCTCTTCTAGTTTTCTCACTGTAAGTTTAAAGATCTGGAGTGGGTGACTAGGTTCCAGGCCCTGCCAAAGTCCAAATGTTATTCTTAGTCAGGAACCCGTTCCCTTCTCAGCCATGACAAAGGAATCAGCTGACAACTTAGTACGAGAATGTGAAGGGTGGGGGTGATTTCCGCCCACCTGGGCTACGGCTGAACTAAGCCTGGAGGCAGCCAAAAGGCTCAGGTGTGGCCCGAAATGGAAAGCCAGACACTTTCAAAAATCATTTGGCCTCAAGAGTTAATGAATATCAGATCTATTACTCACACAGGTTAAACTACATGCAAACTAATTAGATTTCCTAATGCAGTCAATGATGGTTTTATATCTCCAGCAACATTCATATCCAGCCCAAGTTGGCACACACTTTGGGTTGCTTGAAAATTGCCTTAAGTGTTTGCCTGAACAGGGGAAGCCAGAGGCCAGCCTTCAGCCCCCCTGCAGACACCCTGGAATTATGCTAGTCCCTCAGTCCCTCCTGCCCCTTTCTGACAGCATTCCCCCTACTCCTGGCAGTCTGCATTATTTTAATGAGAACGGGATTTTGAAAATTGCTGCTCTAAGGTTAGAGTTGCCTGGAGCCCCAACTCCTACTGAGTTCACAAGCAAACTTTCCCCCTGCAGGGACAAACTTTCTCCTACAGAGATGATGCCAGGGCTGCAATGTGCCCAGGGGCATCTCCTTAAGGTCTCAGACAGGGTGCCAAAAAAAAAAAAAGCCTAGATCTTGAGGAGATTCCCTGGGGGTCAACTAGGCCCAGAGGGCCTGGGCTTAGGGAGGAGGCAGGAGGAGAGTGCATTCCAAGTTGGATGCTGAAGGAAATGAAGGGGCCTGAGAGGCCTAAGGGCCCTCTGGGAGTCAATGTATGGAACACCCTTCTGCACACCAGGACAAGCCAACAGATCTAGCAAGTTCCCACTCCAAAATACACTCTACAGTTTGGTCTTTTAAGAGGGAAGTGGGGTTGGCCACTTTTCCAGGCCCTAACACTGCCCTGGGAGTTCTTGGGTATCTGAGAACAAGTCTCCACCCTACCTGAGGTGAACAGGACTATGGCCTTGAGGCAACTGTACTCGGCAGAATCGACGTGCAGCGCCTTGAGCTTCTCCACTTGCTCTTGGAAGATCCTTATGTGGTCCATAAAGGCGACCACCCGGTCGGCTGACATGGGTGAAGCGTGCAGACCAGCAGCGGCCAGGAGCGGGGCGACATGGAGGGGCATGGAGCACTGCGCCGCATTCAACACGAACAGCTCGCTCCAGGTGAGGCGAAGAAGGGCCACCTGGTCCGTGATCTGCAGGTCAGGGAAGAAGGGGATGTTCCGGGCCCACTCAACGGCGCTGAAGAGCATCCGCGCGGCCAGTTCGCAAATGTTCTCGATGCCCATGATGTTGTTAGGCTGCATGCACTGGCTGCCGAAGCGAGACGTGGGGTAGGGCTCCGCGCGCAGCAGCAGGGAAATATATCCGGACAGGTACGAGTGGCAGTTGAGGGGGTCCCCGTTGGTCAGCGCAAACTGCCCGTGGGTAGGCTGGGTGGGCGGCATCCTGCCCCTCTGTACAGCTGCAGGGAGGAAAGGAGACACTCCACAGTTAAAGATCAGCCTTGATCTCGCATCCTTCTACATGACCCCGACCTGTCCAAGGCCCCAGAACAGCACCAAGAACCAGGCAGGCCTGCTACAGCCGGGCGCCGGGCAACCCCTCCTCACAAATCACCTCCCAGACTGAGTCTGACCGCCGGAGCTCAACACTTGCCTGTGAGGCCCATCTGGGCTGCTCTGCCGAGGACCCAGAATTGGTCACTTTGCCTGGGGGTCCCCTCAGCTGTGAGCGGGATGTAGCATTCTGGGGGGGGGGCACCTTTCTTTTTTCTTTTTCTTTCTGCTAAACAGCTGGTATTTCTTTTTGATTGGAGAAGGGACCGGAGCGGAGCGTAGGGGGGAGGGTGAGACGCTTTTGCACTAGATATCAAGGTTTACCCCAGATGGCCTGTGGCCACCCCCGAAACACCGTACCCAAAGCATGTAACGTCAACTCCAGCCCAGGAGGGAAACCCCGGCGACAGACAGAGCCTAGGTCCCACGTCTTTGCCTGATCAGTGAGCTCGGAGGAGCAGAGACAAGGGAGAGGGCGGAGAGAGAAAGAGAGGCCGGCAGAGACAAGAGGAAGCCGGAGAGAGGCAGGGAGCCGGCGGCGGCGGGCGCTGGCGGAGCCCGGGCAAGGCCCGTGGTCGCCACGGTAAGCCAGAGAGACTCAGGCTCCTGCTGTTATCTGATTCTGGACCGAGAGAATCGCTCTCGCAGAAACACAAAGAAACCCGGCTTTGGCTCACCCCAACCCGGAGCCCGCGCCCGGCGCGGAGCGCGCCATTGGTAGAACACTGTTCCCGGCTCTGGGCGAATTTAATATCACAAAGACCCAACTGGCGCAGAGCGAAAGCAGCGGCCCAAGGCCCCTTGTCCACACTTTCCTACTCCCTACAGTGCTCTCTTCGTTTCAAAAGTGAAAGGAAAAAAAGAAAAACAGGAGATATTTTTTTAAAGCAGAATGTTAATCTACGGAGGGGGTCACATGAGCACTGCCCAGGAGGCAGCGTTAATACGGCGAAGTGCATAAAATTGCCATTTGTAATTTGAACCTTCTGTACAAAAGTACAATCTCAGGTTGTTTTTTTTTTTTGAGAAGGTGGGGGTTGGGGAGTGGGGTAAGGAGGAGGGACATATGTTAAACATGCTGGAAAAGCAAGGGCAGAGAGAGAAAGAGAGACAGGACTTTAAAACAACAACAAACAACAATCCACCCCTTGCAGAAAGGTGAACTCGAATGAACTCTCAATCAATGCAAAGGAAAGGAAAAGCAGCCCGAAGAGAGAGTGGACAAGGAAAGTCTGCTAAAGCATGCGGACTGCAGGGTGGGGGTGGGGGTGGTCTGGGCTGCCGTGCAGACCCTGCTCTACTACCAAACCCCTTTGGCTGCAACGCGTATAGCTTGGGGCTTCTGTGTCCTTACCCAGAGCAGGCTAGCCAAACGCACCCAGGGCCCCGGGACCGCGGGCGAAGGGGGGGAGAAATGAGAAGCCGATACCTTCCCGTCTCATGCCCACTTTGAGGCACTTTTTGAGGCGGCAGTACTGGCACTGGTTGCGGTGGTGCTGGTCGATGGGACAGTTCCGGTTGGCGCGGCACGTGTAGCTCAGGTTCCTCCGCACGCTGCGCTTGAAGAAGCTCTTGCAGCCCTCGCACGTGAACTGGCCGTAGTGCTTGCCGCTCGACTTGTCCCCGCACACCACACACTCGATGTGCTGCTGCTGCTGCTGCTTGTCGCTGCCGGGGCCGCCAGGGCCGCCCTGGCCGCCAGCCGCTGTCTGGGCCGGCGTGCTGGCCGGGCCCCCTTGGCCCGGCGTCTGTGGCGTGTGCGGGGCGCCAGGCGGCGGGCCCGGCACGGGCGGCGCCTGCGAGGCCTGGCTGCCCTGAGAGCCGGGCACCTCGTCCTGGGGGTCGCGCCACGTGCTGACTACCATTGCCATATCTATGGGGGCTGCGTCCGGACTTCTGCTCCCCTGGCTGCGGGCGGCGGCGGGGTGGCGGCGGCTCCCGGGTCCCGGGCTCCGGCGCGCCGCCTTTTGTGTGTGCGAGGGTGCGAGAGGGCGCGGGAGGGCGCCCCGGGTGGCTCAGGGCTAGTTGATTGAGGTTGGTTAGTTTTTCCTTTTTTGTTTTTGCTTTTGCAAAGTTTTGTCGATTGCTTGTCTGGCCCGGTGTGTTTGTTTTGTTTGTTTCCCTCGGCTCAGCTTTGTTGGTTTCGGGGGGCTTTCCGTCAAGAGGGGAGGGCAAGAGGACAGGGGAGAGAGAGTGGGAGCAGAACGTGGAGAGAGGGAGGGGAGGGAGAGCTGCAAGTCGATTGTCTGGCTTCAAGACAGAAGTAGGAGGCAAAAAAAATCTCTCCAAAGATCTCGCTCGCTCTCACTCTCCCTCCCTCTCTCCCTCTCTCGTTCACTCTCTCGCTCTCAGATCTAGTGTGCAGCGGAGGAGTTGGAGGAGGAGAAGGAGGAGGAGGAAGAGGAGGAGGAGGAAGAGGAGAAGGAGAGGCGACTGTCCGGGGGCCAAGTCCAGGGCAGCCCACAGTCAGCCATTCAGGAAAGCCATCGAAATCAGGAGGACTGGGAGAGCAGAGGCGCCGGGCGCGGGCGCGCCCTGGGAGCCAGGCAGGCCGGGGCGGAGGCCGGCGGCCCGCGGAGTGGCCGGAGCTCTGCTCGGGTCCGGGGGAATCAGCATGAAAGTGGTCCGCGTCCGGCGCTGCGCGGCGTCGTCCTGGCGCTGGGCCGCCGCCGCCTCCTGCCCCGGGCGCCTGGCGCGCGCCGCGCTCGCTCCGGACGCCGCCGCCGCCGCCGCTCTTGGAGGCCGCTCGCTGCTCCCCGTGGGCCGCCCGGGCCGCCGCCGCCGCCGCCGAAGCCTCCGGGTCGGGCCCGGAGCCGCCGCGTCTAGCGCCGCCGCCGCCGGTGGAGTCGCTGCTGCCGCTGCTGCCGCCGCCGGAGCTGCTGCTGCTGCTGCTGCTGCTGCTGCTGCTGCTGTTGCTGCTGCCGCCGCCGCCTCACACACATAGGGAAAGAGTCAACTCGCCGGCGGCGGGGGAGAGATGATAAGAGAGAAAGGAGGGCAGATCAGCACCTAGAAGCGCATCCTTCGTGCGCAGAGGGGGGAGAAACGGAGAGAAAGAATGAAAGAGGGAAGAGCAGCGCGGCAGCCGGAGAAAGGAGGCAACTCCGGCAGAGGAGGAGGAGAAGAAAACACACACGCGCGCACGCACGCACACACCGCGGAGAGAAAAGAGCAGAATCAAAGTGATCAAATATGCTAAAAAGGGGGGCGCGGGAGGGAATGCGATTTATAGGCGCCGGGGCTGGCAGAAGTGGCTTCTCCGCGATCAGCTCACTGAGCTCTCTATATAGTGAACTTTGACACGACTGCTGCAACTTAGCGCACGTTACCATGGCGACGGCGCGCCTTATAAGGCAGCCGCCGGGGTTGGCCTGGCCCGGCGCGCGCGCGCCGCCCCCTCGCCGTCATTGGCCGGAGCGCGGCGGCCCCGCCATGGCGGCAGCGGGAGCAGCTCGGTCCTAGTGCGAGCATCGTCGCGACTGCCGTGCGGGCCGCTCGGGGACTGAGGGGGGCGGGGACGGGTGGCCGCGCCGCCCGGGCCACCGAGCGGGGGATGGGCCCGGGCGGACCCGGGAGCGCGGATCCCGCTCGCCCCGCACCCGGCACCCGAGGTGACCGCCCCAGTGGCGAGGCGAGAGCGCTGTGCACACACTACGCCTCTTAAAGGCTCCGCGAGAGGTAGAGGATGGAGCCTAAGACTTAGTCCCTTGCAACTTGGCGTTGCCACTAAATAGGCGGCTAGCGCTCCACCCGGGACTCCCGACGGCGCATTATGTAGAGCCCACGATGCCAAAGACGGATAGTGCTTCCCTCTTCTTTGTAGAGGGGTACGCCGCGGAGGTGGCAAGGTACCGGGATCTGAGCTTGCAAAAGGAAGATTTGGGCTAGATCCGTGAGGTGGCAAATCCTTTGCTTAATGAACTCTCATCATTTGCTCTATTTGGTGGCTCCTTTTTTTTGTTTGTTTTATAGGAAAAGAAGCCGTTCAATATCTGCCTTTTTCTTTGGAGGGTTAATATTTTATAGATTTGCGGCCTGACATTTTAATTGCTCAAATGAAGCATCTCGGATGCTGAGAAGCACAAGTAGACTTCTCATGGTCATGACGCAATTAAAATAAATTCCCCTCAACTTTATCCTCTCTCATTGGTTTTAGCTAACCAGCCAGCCAGTGACCTGTCACACACCCGGTCATGAAAAGAGGGAGAAAGACCTTTCTGTCCTCTGATGGACAGGCGGAGGCAGCCGCTTAGCCTCGCCTGTGCACAGTTTCTGTACACACATGTAAACGCACATGTATCAGATGCACATTTGTCAATGTATACAGACAAAGACATCCAAGATGATGCTTCGAGGTCATAGAACAGTTGAATACGTACTTCATTGTTCAAATTCTCTTTAAACACCCATATAGTCATTAAAACACATCCAGAGAGCCTGCTCCAATTTGGAAATAACACCAGCATAACTCACAAGAACTACAGACAAGCCATAGTCTTCATCCCACAGTCTATGTCATTCTGCCCAGGATGCTCATTCGTGTGTCTTTGAATGTGTGCCTGAGTTTTAAACATCAAATATATAGAACCACCCCCAGGACAAATTATATTCCACCGACTAAACTTGCTGTTTGATTAGGACCAGTTAGTTGATTGTGAGGACTCCACACTTGTATGGGAAATTTGTGTTTAAAAGGGAATACTTTGCACCAAGCCAAAACTAAAACCATAAGTCGAACAATTTTACCAACAATGAAATTGTTTTTACACAAAAGATGCTGAGCTACTGGGGGTGGGGGGTGAGGAGGACCCTACAAAGAGCAAATTGACAACTTCTGAAAAGCATCTTTGACAGCATAAAAATTTGGCAATATAAAGTTGCTTTAACAAAATAACCCAGACGTGTAATTGACGTGGGTAGACTGCACTTTAGGGCAGTTTCTTTCACACATACAGGCGGAGTATGAGGTGAGGAGCCCATGAAGATGCGGGCAGACAGAAGCTGGGTTTTCCCCGCAAGGAAAAATGAATCCTGTTCTTCTTCAAAGTTCTCCTTAACCTTCTCTTTCTCTACTGAAACCATACATTGCACTGACATGTCAGGTGCTGTGGTTATTTGAATGTTTTAAGAAACAACAAGCTATAGCAGGTACCAGACTATCATAAACCTGGTGTGTTAAATAAGGTGGCTACAGAGTACAGCTAGGCGAAGCATTGCTGGCTGATTAGAGATACCACATAACTTTCTCCTACAGAGAACAACAAAGGAAGATGGAAAAGAAATAATTTCAGAGAAATATGGGTTTTTTTCTTCTTTTAATTTCTCTGACTTGAGGAATTATTTGATACTGCAATTGTCAGATTATAGAGGGAAGCTCAGCATATAGTGAGACTGAGGTTGACACAGGAAATCTAATAGGTATTCCCATGACTTTATAGATGAGCATAATTGATTATAGAGAAATGTTAATTTTGCCTCTCCAAGTGCAGCCATTTTCATGGCAAGATTACTTTTTGCTCACACACCGAGATGGTTTTTGAGGAGGAGAGGCCACACACACACACACACACACACACACACACACACACACACACACACACACGGAATTTGAAGGCTGTAATTTCTTTAGGTAGAAAAATGAAGAATTTCCCACTTACAGAACTGCAGCCAGCTAGACACATGGCCATACAACTACCACCAAGTCAGGGCTGCTTCACTTTGAATTTGAGGGCTCATTTAGCTATAGAAATGCTGTTTAGAAGGGGATAAAAATCGCTATATGAATTGTAGTTAATTTTACTGAGTGGATGGAGAGACAGTACAGCCAGACAGAGGGGTTAAAAAAAAGCAAAAATATTTTTAAATGTCCGTCTCAAAGATGCTCAGTAAGATTTAAAAGTCCTGATTAAAACATACATATCTATATGCTATTTCAAAAAACTCAACCAAGCCTTTTACTACAAATGTAAATTTATTTTAATGAGAATTGTGGCAAGCTTTATTTGACTGCTCAAAGTTAGGGAAAAACATTTGTCTTAATCTAGAAAAAAAAAAAACTCCCAGGAATATGGTTCCTTGCAGAAAGTGGTTGGCTGGTCTGTAATTCTTTACAGATTAAATCACAATATGAATACAGACCCCAGCAATGCCGAGTTTAACTCTGAGCTCAGTAGAATCCAGGATCCATTGAATTTCTCCTTTCCCTCAATCTAGTCGTGTGTGTTTTTCTCTTCCACCACACTGGAGCTCCGTGAATAGGGAAGGGGCTTCCATTGTGTCCCTCTGAACTTCCAAGTCAATGCAATTTTTAACCACTGGCTTGTGGTACTTTGAAAATCACCAGGGGCTGTCAGAGTTGGGTCCTCTGAAAAATTTACAGTGCTAAATCAGAGCATATGCTGGGAGGGAAAAAAATTGCTTAAGATTGGAGCAAGTACAGTATCTGTCTGCCCCCTAGTGTAAGAGTCCTCGCTGCCTAAAATCCAACTTTAAAAGAAAAGGAGCCCTTAAAGGGAAACGACTTGGGGCTCACGTAGGCATAGGCATAGGAGAATGAAACTTCTGTATATTTTAATCTGACTAATTCTTATGGATTTAAAATTATTTGGCTGTGACTTGGTTGGACTGCACTGGGATCTCGCTGCCTCTACGTTTCTCGAGTCACTGGTGAAGAGGTGATTTTTTTTTTTTTTGAACTGGGTTTATGTGCGTCCCCCTCACCCCTCCTCTCTTTTTCTTTCTGCCTCTGTCGTCTCTCTCGCTGGCTTTTTAAAAATGAGGAACCGTTCCATGACCATTTTGCACACAGCACAGAATTGCTTCAAAAGTCAGCCCTGCGCGGTTGCAATAGACAGCAAAAAGGTAAACCGTTTGCCTGAAATCCGCACGCCAGCTCCACCACCCCGCCCGATGGTGAGTACCCTTCTCCTTGCGATTCTCCTAGCTTAGCAGAGCGCTCGCCTTCAGGAACCGCAGCCGAAGGCGCCGGGCAAGGGCTTCGGTCCCAGCCCGCCCGCCCGCTCGCCCGCCTGCCCGCCCGCCTGCCTGCCCGCCTGCCTGCCTGCCTGTCAGCTGCACAAGGTTGCAAAATGAAGCGCAGAGGCAAATCGAACAGGAAATTCTGATACCTAAAGCCAGCATAGCATCCCCTTCCCTAACAAACCCAGTCATCTGCTGCTTGGACGACCAGGCTTCAATGACTGGCTTTCGGTCAGTTCAATGGAAGGAAATGAGTTTGAGAAGACAGGATGAGGAGATGGGAGGCAACCGCAGTCTTTATGCTTTGGTTTAATCATATTTTGGCAGCTTTGCAATTGTATTTCCCCCCTCTCCCACCTCTGCTACCACACACATGTAATAAAATATGGCAACGCACTGAATTGACTGCCCCCCCCACCCCTTCAACCACAGTCCAAGGCAATGCATACACGTTAGCAAACCGATTTTCTGAAAAGCCCCAAGTCATCCCCAAACCCACATAGCACAAGGAGAAAAGTGAGAAAGAAGAGAAAGAGAAAAATAAATACAGTAAGCAAACATACCAAAACCATATTTGCCTTGTTCAAGGTCCCAAACCGCTTGCATCTTCCTTCTAAACTGGAATAACTCTCCTTTAGTTTGGCGGGTGAAATAAACGCTTTGTTGGCCCCCTGAAAAGATGTATCTTTGATAATTAAAGAGACTCTCCTCCTCGGTGTTTATCTAAGCGATTGTGCAAACTGATAAAAAAGTAGGCATTAGTCTGCAGGGAAAAAGAGGAAAGGTGAAGGGAGAGATCTTCCACCTCAAGGAAGTGCTTCCCTGTGTACCAGGCGCTCTCAGCCCTTGGAAAAGCCTGCACACTAACTTTAGAGAGAGACGCGGCTTCAGGGAGCTTTGTACATAGCTACTGAGGAATGCAAGCCTCGCCTTTAAGAAAAAAAAACCCCAGACCGTAGGTAGGAGATGTCTGGAGTGATCCTTGTCTCTCATCTGATGCCTTAGAAGGAAGAGTGCGTTGTTACACCTTGTTTGGGGCTGGAAAGAGGAGACTTTAAAAACACCCTTCCAATTGAAAAAAAAAAATCTCCCAACTTAATGAGTTTAGTCGGAGGCTGGAGCAAACAGCTCAGTCTTAGCAGAAAACCACAAACAACTATAGGCAATATTGTAAGGCAAGACTACCGGAGGCACAGCCAAACTCCACTGTTTGGGGTGAAAGGGATGGAGGCTAATCCTAAAGCAAGTTGGGAAAAAAATAACAAAAAACCAGAGGTAGGAGAGGAGGGGGAAAAGCTGCAGCCTACTAGACTGGCAGCCAGGGTCCACTCACCCTGGATCAAAGATAGAACTTGAAACAGGAGGCCAACATTTTTCCTAGGAATCTGTTGGAATCCTCATTTTCTACTTTTAACTCAAGTCGCCCCCACCCAAATGATTTCTCTCTCTCTCCCCTGTGGATTAGTGCCTCCCTCCCCTTTCTACTGCCCATTCTAGAACTTTCCTGAAGAGGAAATCTATTTCTTTTGGGGGGAGGGGTTCCCCATTTCATGCCTTCAAATAATGAATACTTAATTCATCCCCTCCCTTTATCAATTCCCCCAAACGAATAAAGGAAGCAGAGATACAATAACTAGCAAAAATTGAGCCTGGACCGAGCTGCTTCTTGCAGTTTAGTACAGTCTTAACTAATGAATTGTTGTTGTTGTTGTTGTTGTTTTGTTTTAAGAGAAGAATAATGGGGAAACATGGATCTTTTATTTTAGGAAACTGTTATGGTAAGATGAATGTCAGACTTGACAAATGGAACTAACGCTCTTCACTGCTTCTTGTCCTTGTCTTAAACAGGAATTAAGTTAAACACAGTGCTGAATGTTAATTACATGTTTACTGGCTAATGAAAATTACAAATGGTTTTGCCACCTCAAACAATGATGAAAACTCTGAAGACACTGTAATTATATACTTTGAGGGAAATAACTCAGAATATTGATCATAAGAAGTGTAAATCTTTTTTTAACTATTCATTAATACCATAAATATGGGCTACAGAAGTTTTTCCTTGCGGTTTGTCTCATCATTTACACTGAGTGGATGGCTGATGGGACTCCTCCCGAGAGGAGGTGAACTCTGTCTCTTAGAAGGAGGCCACGTGTGTGACTCAGGAGTGCCCCCTCCCTTCCGCCCCGCCCCCTTCATCCTAGCTGAAGGTCCAGTGATCTCCAACAGGGAGGCCCGGCTCAGGGCAGGTGAAGGTGATCTCAGTCCAGCCTCTCTCTGTCTCTCTTCTCTCCTTCTCTCCCTCCTCCCTCTTCTTTTCATGCCAGGTCTGATAGATGAGCACCTTGCCCAGTCTGGGTGCCTGGGATAACCTAATGAAAGACCAATCAGACCTGGCAACTCATCACCACCCAGAGATGCAGTCCTGACCACTTCAGCTCCGTCCCTCAGAGGTGGCTAGGGTAGTTCATTGCCGGAGAAGGGGGAAAGATTAAGGATGGAGGTGGCTGTTGGGGATGGTAGCTTAAGCCCTGAACCAGAGCTGGGTTTTGCAGTAATTACTTTGTGGTCCTTTTCTTTCAACTTTAGCCAAATTTAGAACCCTGGCAGTCACTCCAATCTTGAGGGTCAGAGGTGAGAGACGCACTAACCCTAAAAGGCAGGCCCGCCCCGCCCCGCCTGAAACAACAACCCAGCAATGGCATGGTGGTGGTGGTGGCGAAACTGCAGGGCTCTTGGTGTGTGTGTGTGTGTGTGTGTGTGTGTGTGTGTGTGTGTGTGTGTGTGTATGGGTGAAACACACATGTGGGAGTCCAGCACCAAGTGCAGCTTAAAATGAAATATTGAAGGTTTCGAAAGAAGTGTTCAAGGCTTGTGGGACTGGAGTCCTCCTTTTCCCTGAGAATTCCCAAGGCTCTGGTCTTTGTCTTAGAAGGAATGGAGTTTCTGAATGGTGTGAAAGGGACAGAGAGGGTCGCTTCCAATCGATTTTACTTGTCCTTCCTGCGTTTTCGGATCAACGCCCTTCAATGGACACAGAGGTGCTCTTTCAACCAAAAACTTGTGCTACATTTTCTGCCTGTATTGGTGCTAAATACACTAAGCATCGGGCAGATTTTCTTCCCTTTGCTCTCCAAAGCTAAAAAAAAAAAAAAAAAAAAAAAGAAAGAAAAAGAAAAAAAGCACCCTAATTAAATTGTTTTATACGGACAGTCAAGACTGACCAATTAAGTATGCATTAGTATAAAGATAGACTCAGCAGATATGGAGTTTTAGAAAGCCATGGTTATGACAAAGGCGAGGGCATTAGGGTGTGGAGACAGGGGTTCGTGGACACAGCTGGGTTGCACCTTCTTCTCAGGGCCCCACGGGATTTGCAAAGGCCCAGGCCTCAGGTGAGAGGAAATCAGGCCAGTTAACAACAGGTGGGAGGGTGGCGGTCGAAGACTTGCAGACCCGAAACCCCAAGTCTAAGGGCAAAGGAGGGGTGGTTGGATATTCCTCAATTGCTCCCGCAATTTAGCCGTCCCAGGTGGCAGGACAAGATGAGGCCCTGCAGTGCTCACTCTGCTTCAGGCCCGCTTCCTGGGGTCCCCGGGTCAAGGTGAGGCTACGTAATCATGGAGTTGTGTGAGCACGCCCGGAGCAGGCGCTGACACCTTAGCCACCTGGACCACAGCCCTCTGGCAGCCAAGAGTCAGGGGCGAGGGGGGGGCTCTCAACACTTCACAGCTAAGCGCGTTTTTTGCTCCTCCGGAAAGGGACGTCTGGTGGTGAAGAAAGTAAAGTTCCCACCAGAAGACCTGCGCGGTCGGACTGGCGACAAAGACATGATGTTGGAGGAGCACAAAGGCCAAGGGTCGCAGAAAGGGTGGCGGGGAAGCGGGTCCCAAAAATGCAGCTGCAGCTCAGAGCTCCTCCACCACTTTTCCGCCCTAGGAGGCATGAGCGGGCGAAGAGCATCGTGTCCCGAAGGGGACGACCCTCAAAGCTGGGGCTGGGGCCTCCCTGCGCGGCCACGCAGGACTCTGATAGGTGGTCCTAGGCCACGGGGACGCTAGCGCGTCTCACGGTCTCCGCAAGGGCTCTCGGGGTGCCCTGAACGTCCTGGGGGAGGGAGGGGGTAGTGGAGGAGGCAGTGGCAGTCTGGGGGAAGTGGCTGAATGTCATAAGTAAGAAGGTTGAAAAGGCAATTTTCCAGACGCGCTTTGCCCCCCACTTCTCTCCTCATTGGGCCTCCCGCCCGGGCTGTAAATCTGCGGCTGGTGGCCAGGACACCAGGAGTCCTCTCAGCGGCGGGCCCGACGCGGCCCCGCCCGCAGCGCGCACACCTCCCGGTGGGCCCCGCATCGATCCGAAGCCTAGCTGAGGATGTCACCGCACTAAATATTTACTGATCACACACGAATAGCCAGGGCTCGAACGATTTTCCTCTGTGAGGAGAGCGCAGAGAGCAGGGTAAATCATTTTATTAGTGTGGATAAAGCCCAGAGCACACTCCGGGCTGGAGTGTTTTAAGATGTGTCTTCAACGGGATGAAAAGAGTTAGGGAAATCGATAAGGAGTGATTAGAAGCCCCCGGAGTGACGAAGGGGGACCTGACTTGCGGGGATTTGGCGGGGCAGAGAGGGAGGAAGCCAGCCCCGAGGGGAATGGCGGGACTACCGCCTAGGAGCTCCAGCGAAGGCCTCGGTCCCTCTGTCCTCGACGGGAAAGGTGACAGGGCAGCTAACGATAAGGGTTGGCCGCCCGGCTTCTCAGATAGGGATAAACGAGTCGCGGCAGGGCCAAGAGCTTGGGAGCCACAGACCCTATACCGGGAGTGACACTGGCCAGGTGACCACCCGAGTTGGTGGCTCGTGTGGAGCGGGGACCACGGACACATTTCCCCACATGTAGTGTCTCCAGGCAGCCTGAGTAGCCAATATGTGGCC